TTCCACTTCGAGTTATTCAGGTCTTACTGTCTCTATTCCTGTTTAAAGTTACGTCAACTATTTGCATGTATATTTTTATATATGTTCCTTTATGTTTACGTAAACTCTTTTGTTTGGACTCACTAGGCGTAAGCCTAACCCTCTTTTTTTTTGTTATAATTACTTTTGAGGTTCCTTTAACGGTGGGGCTCTAAAGGGTTGAGAGGAGTGTTGGTTCGTGAAAGACTCTTTTGTAATTATAGCCTTGTTACTTTTGAACGTTGCGTTTTTGATGTTACGACATTTTGGAGATTGATATAAATACCCGTCTTTAATCTAGAAAAAAATCTAAATTTGTAGGTTGTTATTTATCTTCTCAGTAGCGGAATTGTAAACGCTATACTATTACTTTTGTTGGGTGAAATTTTTTTTTATCTAAGATTCTGGTTCTCGTTAAATATTTTCGGTTTAGACTATCTTTTTTCTTAGGGTGTTACACTTCTCCAAAATATGAAGTGATTAACCTTGTAGATCCATCTTTTGGATAAGACTTAAAGTGTCCACTTCTTTAATTTCTAGTCCCACTTTTTAAGAACAAACATATGTAAACATGGTGTTAGTTGACATTTAATCGTAGAATGTTTTTGGATGAAATGAAATTTGTTAAGCGAATTTGACTTTGAAAGAATTGAAATGGAATGTTATCAGGTTTGACCACCTGTTTGATTGGCAGACATTGAAATAAAATCTGTTAAGAAATTGTAATTTGTCTGTTTGGTTCACAAAATGTAGATTCAGAATTGGAATGAAATATTGGTAAATGACCAAAATGACCTTTTTTTGAAAATTTTAATTTTTTTAAAATTAAATACTTTAATAAAATAATATTTAACATACAAAACAATATAAAATACACAACACAAATATAACCATAAGCCAAACGAAGTTACTAAATCGGTGGTGGTCCGCAGTGGTTCAGATCGATGGTGGTCCGTAGTGGTTCAGATAGAGGTGGTTATCGGTGGTTCGGATGGAAGGTGGCACAGATTGGCGGTGGGGGACCATGATTCAGATTGGTGGTTGTTCAAATCGGTGGTGTTCGGCGGTGTCCGACGATGAATGAGATTGGTGGTAGTTGTCGGTGGTCGGTAGTGGTTCAGATTGATGGTGATCCGTGGTGCTTCAAGTGGCGGTGGTAGGATGTGGTTCAGATTGGCAGTGGTCGACGATGATTCAGATCGATAGTAGTTAACGGTGGTTCAGATCAATGGTGGTCCGTGGTGGTTCAGATGGAGATGGTCAACAGTGATTCAGATTGGTGGTGGTCCATGGTGGTTCAAATGCCGGTGATCGATGGTGGATCAGATCGACGGTGGTTCCAATCGATGGTGGTTCAGATCAACGGTGGCCAATGGTGGTTCAGATAGGTAGCGGTTGGCAGTGTTCAGATTGGTGGTGGTCGACGGTGGTTTGGATCGGTGGTAGTCAGCATGAGTGGTTTAGATGGCGGTGGTCGTCAGTGATTCAGATCGACAGTGGTCGAAGGTTGTCGACGATGGTCCTATTGGGTTTATGAGATTAGGATATATTGGTTTAAAGGCATATTTGGTATTATGAAAATAGAGAATTTTATTTCATCAAAATACCATGTAGTTGCTAAGAAGTGTTAAAATCCTTTATTTGTAGAATTTTGAATATTCTTTTATGAAAAAGAATGAACCAAACGAGGAAACGGAATTTGATTAATGAAATTCAATAATAATATGGTTGCTTAACATCTATGACTAGTACATGCGGAGCAAAAGAAGGCTACTGGTTGTAACTTCATTGTATGAGAATAGTTGTTTATTTATAATCATAGAAAAAGGCACGTGAACGGATTCACCGCCGTATGGCTGACCAGCGATTACTAGCGATTCCGGCTTAAGTCAAGGTAGAACAGGAAGCTCAATTTGATTGAAAGAAAAGAAACTTACACGTCCATGTTCAACATAACAGAACTTCAGAGAAACGCCGTCACATTTTCCTTCAAGATCCTCAACTTGCTTCTTCGTTGGTGGGCTGCCGCTACAAAAGACGAAACAAAATTTGGAAAAAAAGTGAATGCGTGGCGTTGATGAAACATATAATGCCAATATGTCATGTGAAAGAAACACGTGAATGTTTTCTTCCATAAAACCAATATTGATACAATTGCTAACAAACGAGGATATAATTATCTCAATTTATTGGGTCGTCTTACGTGCTTATGCAGAGAACAAAGATCGGATTGCCCGGATTGGACTTTCTGAACTTGCTGTTAGGTGGGTATACATCAAAAACCGGTCTCAGTTCAGTTATCTGCATGGCACTGAACAATTCCGTGGTTGCAGTTATGGAACTGAGATCTGCATTTCCGTTATTTATGATTCTTTGGCTTCCTGATTCGCCTTCAACAAATGCAGGCACTCTTTTATCACGCTTCACGCTCCAACAAACACCATGCCTCTTGATTATATAACCCAGCGACTTGAGATGCCTATACACCTCAAACGACTCCCAAGAAGATCCACCTACGCCTTCTGCAACCTTCTTGTAAATATCTTCTAGCGGAATACATTTATCCTCATCATCTAACAGATGCAATGCCCCTATTTCTGCCAAAAACCTACAAATTATCAAACATTTGTTCAACACAGAACAAACAAAGCATGACTGAAGTCAAAATGGAAAATAATGTAGTTCCATAATTATAGACAACGCCCTGTTTTATTATGTGTGGTGCTGAATGACCTTATCACAGTAGTTTTAGAACGTCGCTTCCGTATAAAAGAATGCCACTTCCTTCATACAAGAACGCCACTGAACTTGTAAAAAGGTTATTATGTCAATAAAATCCTCATTTAAGGTTATCGAGCAAAATGGTCCTTTCATTATGGATGAAAATCTTGTCAACTCAACTATTGAAGAAAAACGCATCACAAATTCTTTGTTTCCCCCGTATATCTCAACTGTAATATCACTTACAATATATCTTCAAGAAAAATATATATTTTCCCACCACGCGCTATCCCTGTTGTTGTCCACATTCGGCCTTTATTACTAACAATCTCGGCCATTCCCAATTCTTCCTTCCAGCAAGCCTTGGAGGTATCTTTCCTAAATAATAAGAAAAACCCCACTCCATGTAAGAGAACACCATTATCAAAAATTCACAAGAGAAGAAGAAAACACACACACACACACACAAGTACCTAAACTGCAATTTGGGTAAGTCACCATATGCATAGCAATTTTCCTCACTGTCGCTATCAGGTGCAGTTACTTCCGAATCACTTGATCCACCTGAGGAAGCAGCCCACTCTTCAATTTCCATGATTAAACTAGTGCTCGTTGAGATAGCAGCAAAACTTCAGAACCAAGTAAAGGATCCGTGAAACCTGAAACAAGAAACAACTTGGTAATCTCTTATGTCACACATTATGGAGGAGAAACAAAGATCCTGGTGATAATATACACAACATGAAATAGAGGAATGACGATTGGGCCGCTTTACTTGGTTCATAAAAGTGAGAAGTCCACGCCACCTAAACGGTTAATACCCAAGTAGACGAATGATGAACTTAAATAATTCTTCCAATGGAAGCATGGAAGGCATCTTTCATTTTATAAAAATCTGATAGAAACACGAGTTTTGACTCAAAAGTTCAGAACCTAAATTCAGTCAAAGGAAAAGAATTGTAACTCGACATGGGTACATTTAACCCTAGAAGAATTCCAAAAAGGCAAATGAACACTGTGATTTTCACATTTTAACAAGATATCAAAATGTCGATTGCAATAATGTCACGTAAAAGATGATGTAGAACAAGCAGCCTTAGAGTTTGAAGATAGAATCGAGAGAACAAGAAAACCATGAGCTCAAGCCAAAGTTTCCTACTTTCAGTTATTTATATGGTTTCCTTTCAAATTAGGATAAGTCCATAATTTATTTAAGTCCTTTATTAGATAAGTTTTTAGTAGGACACTAGTCTATAAATAGGGGTCAATGTATTTGTTTAATTGGCAGAATATATAGATTACTACTTTATCAACATTGGTGGATTTCAAGGTATCAGAGCCTACCACGCCTCGCTCGATGACGAAGAACGAAGTCGGAGGGAATGGCCCTAATGATGCTGGTAGAAGGAAGCCGCACCATGGGCAGCGATCGAACAGTACCAACAGTCTCCGAGGGGTCTCGAAGCAGCGATACAGCAGCTGCTAGCACGACAATCCCAACAAAGAAAGACACGGAGGGATTGCCCTCGTCCACGGCTTTCCCTTAAATGACGGATCATGTCATTGGTGCCTCTACATGATCTGCTTTCAAAATGCAGAAAGACTCGCGAGGACAGATCCGGGTTTTTCTCAAACAAACAGAATTACACCACCAATGACAGCTCACCGAGGGAACCAGGAGCATGCTGGAATTAGCAAATTCCAAGATGATGCAAAACAAAAATGTATTGTTCTGGGGTATATCAAGGTTCATAATATTTTCGTTTGGTCAACCGGTATCAGCACTATGGCTTTCAACCTAAATGTCCCTACTTTAAATTTCCGAGGACATGCAAAAAGCTATGAAAAGATGGTGGTTCAATTCGATGTTCTACTGATCATCGTCTTGGTAAGCTATTACCTTACCAACTAGCTAATCAGACGCGAGCCCCTCCTCGGGGGATTCCTCCCAACAATGTACATATATTGGACCTTTTGAGGCAATTATAGATCCTGGGAGACAATTCTGATTGGTCAATAAAAATCGATTTCAATGCCATTTGACGAGTAAAGGGCGGGGAGGGCAAGGCTCTCGAAACAAAGCGAGCCTCTAAGGATCCTATACCCATGACTTAAAATTTCCTTGCCAAGCTACATGAAAGAGGTTTCTGGAAGTCCCCTGAAAAATTAGTGCTAATTGCCCAAAATGATAAGCAAAAGTATTCTGATAAAGACGTTCCTCATATAAATTGAATGGCTACTGAACTGCCATACTCAGATGCTGGTCTAGCCAAGTAAGAACGGCCAAAAGAAGTAACTTGCAAACCCAGGAAGAAATAAAAGAAATCACCTCGTGGTTGTCATTGCTCGGTCACTTCCTTTTCCACTAAGTGATTGCTTATGCTGAATTATGGCCGATATTGGGTATATAAGCAGTGATTTCAATCCAGAGGTTCACGTACTGGCGAAACTAAGTAGGGCCTTTCGAATTGAATCTAGTCAATCAGTGGTGGGCTTGGTTTTAAAAAGCACGATGCGGTCCGATGCGTTAAGGGTCCCGGAAGCCGATGCGTGATGCTGATGCGCTCGCATCACGCACGTGATGCGCCCGGTATTCAAAAAATATTTATAAATTAATTTACATATCAATTTCTACCTTAAAAATACTTACCTATCAAAATACTTCATTTATAACATAAAGTAGTTACAAAATTAACATTAGAATCTTAAAAAGTTCGTGAATAGGAATAACAGAAGTACAGAACACACAAATTACTACCATGAAGAACACATTTACACAAGTAAATGTCTAATAGTCCCAATCCCTAAACTAAATGACCAACCAAGTGACCATAAACTACTACCATAAAGAACACAATTACACAAGTTAAGTAAATCACGTCACGTTTTAATTGATATGCGATGCTGGTATCGACTGCTGTTGGTTCGACTACTGCTGCTTCTTCGCTGTCGGCTTCTTCTATTAGGTCGCTAACATTCTCACTCACGTTCTATTTTACTTAACTAAGAAGCCCAACTAAAAAGCCCAACTAAAAAGCCCAACTAAATGCTGAAAAAGGGAGCCCAAAAATGCAATATACATGATGCGCTGATGCATAAGTGATGCACGCATCATGTGATACGTAGGTGATGCGATCGCATCATGGAATCGCAACGCATCAGACCCTTTGATGCGTTTTCTTCAGCGCATCACAGCGCATCACGCATCACAACGCATAATGCGCGCATTTTTAAACCAAGGTGGTGGGACTAAAAGCCAATATAAACTCCACCTGGGCTCCATTGGTGAAACACTGAGGGCATACCGACTGTGAACTTAAACCCTGAACCATGTATGCGATCATATGAATTCAACCGAAAACAAAACCCATTTGTATAAATACACTAACTGATCAAATATCCCAAGTTGAATGAAAAGATCAATTATTAAGCTTTTTGGACAACATAAAATGGATTGAATTTAATTCAAAAGAATATCATCAAAGCTTCAAATACAGAACCCATATGGGTAAACAAGCTAATCTCAATTAAAAACTTCCAATTTTATACAAAAGATAATTAGCTACTCGCCAAACTTAAACTAATGTAAAGTTCATTGTAAATTGAACACAAACTCCCGAACCAATGTCATTAAGATATAAAGGGGATTACTAATTAGCAATTAACTATTACTGTGCGTGGTGCAGTGTGGCTCTGGGAAGACTCAGGGGGATCAACCAGCCAGGGCCGGTCCTGAAGTTTTTCATGCCCTAGGCAAAAAAACCTAAAAATGGCCCCCAACCTAAAAAACAGACAAAACACGCTATTTCCAAGGCACCAAGGATTACCGGTGAATCGTGAGTTTTCAAATGAAAGAAACCACACTAGTCACCACTCACCATGGGCCACTTACAGATCATTTTTCAAATGTCAACATTTCGATCAATACAATTATGCAACAAATCACTAGAGATATGGAAAAAGGAGTGATTTAAAGGACTGTAAATATAGCTTGCGCATTAATGCACATAAGGAAACTAAAGATTATTTAAGAAATACTTTGGGAATACATTACACAACTTGATGTGTAAGTTAGAAATCTAAAAACATGTTTAACATGATATAAGAATTAGTGTTTATGAAATCAATTTGACAAACAACTCATTAGGTAGAGAAACCATGAGATTCATGCAAATTAACATTGTTATATATACTCACTAAACGAAATTAAAACAATGTGATTACTAATAGATTATGAATGATGCATCTAATAGAATGTCAATACGTTATGAAAGAGATATGGTTGATTATGTTTATAACTTTGTTTCATGTACTAAGTAATAGCTAATTCTCTAAGCAACATGTACAACGCCCAATTCTAAAAGTTGGTGTGTGGTTAATTTGTCATGAACCCTACATCCTTAACCACATTTCATCTTAAAATCAAAGGTCCTAAAAATCCATAGAACATGAAAGAACATGATCATGATACCACACAATTTTAATGACAAATTGGTCAACAAATCTTAGGTGAATTACCTTCCACTAGTTCGAAACAACCCATTCTCAAACAATATCTTGAGTAACTAAACACAACAATGTTACTTCCATCTTTTTGTAGGCTTTCCTATATTGACCTTGATCTATGTTGTTAAAATCACGATATATCGGCGATATATCGGATATCGGTCTCTGGAAAAATATCACTGGTGAAATGTAGGTCAACATATCGATTCCGATAATATTGCCGATATTTGATGGAAAAATCGGTCTGACATACCGACTTTCTACAAGGCAAATGTTTGGGGTTTTCTAATTACATGTTAGGCTTAGTTTTTTGGGCCTCTTTATTTGGTCAACCAATCAACACATATATTAGGTCTCACGCTTGTTCTATTCTCGGTTCTTCACAGTTCACTCTTCTTCTCTTCTCGGTTCTTTCACAGTTCAAGCTTATTTCTCTTCTCGGTCTCCTTCATCTTCACGGTCTGGCTTCTTTTCTTTTCTCGGTCTCCTTCTCTTCTCGGTCTCTTTCTTTTCTCCAGCAAATGGTCAAGTCTCACAAAGAAGTGAACGTATTAGATGATGTGACTCAGATGCCGAACCTATTGCTTGCGATTAGCTTGTTTTTGAACACTTTTCCTATTTTGTTTCGTAAGACTTGTTTATGTGATGTTTTAATTTTGAAACTATATTTCTAAACTCTAATTAATGCATATGATATGTTTATGGATGCATTCAGATAATATATGTGTATATATAATTCTAAGAAATATTATATTAACTGCTATTTTGGACCGATAAATTGTAATTACTATCCTAAGTCATAAAATGCCACATAAACGCATAGAAAACAAGTAAAATCAATACTCTATAGATCAAGAATCAAACTATGTAACCGATCTTTCAGTCTTTTAAATTGATATAAGTATAGCAAGAATACCACATAGTTTATACTGGTGGCATTTCATCGAACAGTTGGAGGGCATCATCAATCTTGGTAACGTTATAAGCAATGCGTAAGAAATCAAACCCCAGGCATAAAGCAAATACCAATGAGAAACTAAGATAAGACAGATTAGCAAACTGAACTAACCATCGAACTATGAAAAATCAACAAGACAAGTAGACAACAACCCAAATTATATAAAACAAATTAGAACATCTTTAATCTGCAAAATAGTGAAGGTCATAAACATTAGTCATTGGAATTTAGAAATTTACCAGAGACTTCGAGTTCGAGAGGAAAGGGCAGCGTAGATCAAGAAGAGAGACTTCGAGTTCGATTTGGAGAGGCCGAGAGTCGAGAGAGAGTTACTGGGTATCACTTGGTCCTCATAAGTCGAGAGTCCACTGAAATCGTAAAGGTGAAGCGAGGCGAGGCAGAGAAAGACGTCAGACAGACTTGGGTGCAAGGTAAAAGGGTCATTAACATTTGTTTAGGCCTAAAACTGATCAATAGGCCCTTGTCCTAGGCCGTCGCCCGATCTATCCAAATGGGTCCGGCACGTTCCTGAACCAGGACCAACTTGAAACCGGTCTGGGTTGGGGCCGATTGATACCGCTTACAGTTTTCGTTAAAATAGTTGGTCTGAGCCGGCAAGTTTTAGGGCCTGGTCCGGCCCAGGACCGGTCTGATTTTTCAAAAATAATACCGTTTTATTACCGATTTACAACAGTTATATGATCGTTTTTTTCAATTTTTGATTGGTTTTTTATGTCCCATATACCTTTTATTAACTATATATAAGTCAACTATAAGTTGGAGGAATATACCAACTCACAAACGTTCTAATTTTTTGCTATAATTCTTAATTTCGACTCGTATACTAGCAAAAAAACGTATTTTAGCAAAAACGTATTTTTTAAATGTATTTAATTGACCCAAATTACATATTTTCAAGTGTATTAAAAAAATACACTTTTGGTTTTTTTTTTTTTAAACAATCATAATGATTATATAGAAAATCGAATTTACTGGAAAAATACATAGGATCGATTTGGGCTTGGCCCGGGACCACAACCGGTTACCTGAACCGATTACAAAGTACGTTAACCGGGACTTGAGTTTTTGGTCGGGACCGGGACTCGTTATGGGAATAAGGTTTGGGATAGAGACCGATTTTTAGCCATCTCTATGGCCTATAGACAGAGTCGGGTGGTCGTCCCTGCAACAAGCTTCGTTCATAGTCATGCTATAATTGGGGCAAAGCCAGGAATGTTATTTAGAGTGGTCCATTTAAATAAAACAAGTAAAATTCAAACAAAAATGATATTCGTTATGTATATATGGATTCCAAATAAGCATTTGTTAAGCATCAGAAAAAAGTCAAAGTTTATGTTGGATATTAGTCCACATTTGTCACACATAGGAAAAAGAAGGAAAATTTCATGTATTTATATGGTCTTACACACATAAATTATCAAGTTAGAAAGAGGCCTACAAAATGATTGACATTGGATTTTGGTGTGGCATTACCCAATATTAATGGTCAAAAGATTGGGCTCTTGGGCTCTTATGACC